TAAAATAATTCGAACTCCATCAACTAATCAGACTGATGAGACTTTATCATACGAATTCTGATAAATAAAGCGCGTAGCAGAATTATGGTGAAAATAGGACAAGAACCGTTGTTTCGTTTGTGACACTGGAACAAAGACTGCGATATCCATGTTCACAATTACCTGAAAGGGCAATACGAATGGCAATGGGTATATATCTATGTTTTATAGATTATGCAAAAGCGTTTGATAAAATACCAAACAAATAACTTTTTGAAGTGCTAGCTAAACTTGATTTTATTTCCAAAAGGTATTAGAATAATTCCGAACTTATAATGGGATTAAACCACATGCATACGTATATGAAATGAATTCAGTAAGTACAGAAAAATAGAAAAGTGTGTAAGACAAGGATGTGTCATCTCGCTGGACTTATTCAACCTTTACAGTGAGGCGATTCTAAGAGAATTAGAACTCCTGCCAGGATTCATTATTGGCTGCCACAATTTCAACAATTTAAAATATGCAGAGCACACAATGATGATAGCAGATATAGAATGGAAACAACAAGCAAACCTACCGAAGTTAGAAAAGGAAAGCCAGAAGAAAAAGTTAAACGTCTAATGCAAGAAGAAGACAGGGTGCATGGTTATCAGCAAAGTAGACGAAACCTTTTATTTCGTCCATAGGGGTAGATTATTCTAGCTCCACGTGCCATGCCTCTTCCGGATGTCTCAGCTGTCTCCCTTTAACTCAACTATCCAAGTTTTTGTTCACCAGTGCAGTAGCCTGGTATTGAACTCACAACTTTTGGGGTCAAGTCACTGGATCCAACCAACGTTTTTATCGAGTGGGTCATGTATCAGTGGACAAAATAAAGGGTTCAGTTTGACATTCAAATCACCTGAAGAATGCCGGAAAGTACAGCGGTCGAAACGTCGTGACTATGAAAATAAAGATGCGGACAATAGTCCGAACAATGTAAATAATGTAAATAATTATAATACCTCATCTCAGAAATATAAACAAATATTAAAAGGGACAAAGTTACGAACTTCGATTTAGGTAAACAAAAATCAAGCAAGTACAAAAATGTAATTATTTATGATATGTTTAAATAAAGGACAGAAAATGTGACATCAAAGCCCGAAGGCTTTTTGAAATATAAAAAGTTACCTTCCAAAATCTAAGCAAAATATTAGGAAACAGGAAAACTATTATGTAATATCGGTACACGTCTGTATAACTGTGAAGACTAGACCAACTTCTTACAGATGATAAAGAGATTTCAAACAAAAGAAAGGTGGAAGGATACTGAGAAGACAATTTGAGAACATTTGAGTAACGACGAAGTTTTATGGAAAATGGAAGCAAAATTACATGTATGTTTCGAATCAAAAGAAGTCAGTTGAAGTTTCTTGGGCAAATTATAAGGAAAAAGGGCTTGGAGAATTTGACACTCACAGGAGATATTGAAAGCAAGGTGAACTGAGGAAAGCATAGAATGGCGTAGCTAACAAGTTTGTGTAAATGTTTTCATAACCAGAATTAGGAGAGATATCAAAAAGACAACACTTTCTAAAGGCTGCAAAAAACAGGAAGTTGTGGAGAGTTGATTTTCTTACGTCTTTTTTACGGTATATCAACCTCAATGGGTTATTTAATGCCGACAAAATTTTTATGGTTAGTAATATTTTTTTCTTTTTTGAATCTATTTCTGGTAATAATTTTCCTTCAAATATGTATAGCTGGTAATATTTAAAAAAAAATGTTTTGCTGGTATTAAAATCTATTTTTACACGTTTTGACCCCAGTTTTTTTTTTGGGTGGAGGTGGGGTTAAGTATTTGCACATAGCTGGGATCCTAACAGGTATTACCACAACGGGTCAAGTAATTAAGAGGTGGTTCCACGCTCCTCAAAAACTCTTCATCAGAGGCCTTGCAGTTGGACGTAATTTATCTTCTTACCCAGGACCGGAAGTTGCGATCGCCAATGTACTGAATAGACATGGCACATAGAAGAAAAGAAACAAATCTTTATTTGTGGATGAAATGCAAATGGAAACAATTACTAAATCATATTTATATCATATTTTTCTTTCTATGCATTTTACAGTAAAAAGTACAACGTCTCATTACTGTATCTGTTTCCTTTGATCTGGAATTGTAAGGAAAGCAATGATGTCACCTAGCCTGAATCTATCATAAAAATTCAAGAAATCGAATTAATAAATACAAAACTCTTTAAATGCACCGGTATATGGATCTGTGATATGACATTGAGTCTACGATATAAGGAAATTGAAGAAAGGATAGACTGTGCTAGTAGTTTTGCTCAATACCGCAAGTTGCTACAAAACCAATGAATTAACCTAAGAACTCGTATAATGTCATTAAATAACGTCTCATATAAATGTCATGCATGACGCCTAATTACTTTCAGAAATATCTAAAGTGTCAGCTGCACGTAATCATTTTCTATGAAAAAATAATAAGTCTCTCCATTGTTTCAGCATCTCTATACCGGATCCCCACACTTCATGGTATCACTGCAATAATAATACCTACGAAATCTCCTTGATGATAATCTCTTAATAATAGTGCTTAGGAAAAGTGCTCTAGATCCGTCTAAACTCTACAACAAATCTTTTGCTGTTTCTTGTTTGGAAATTCTCTTCTGTAGTTCATGTTTTTAAGTACTCGGGTGGACCGTCTAACCTTTTGGATTATCTTCTACTAATCTTCTTTTTGGCAAATTCCACCTCAAAGTGCTGTTTTACAGAGAAACAATATATCTTTTCCTTCTGAAGGTCAGCGACTAATGTGTTAATGGTTATTACATAAAGAGACTCTTAAGTTTTAGATTAGAATGGCGAAGCTGTGGCGTTAGATATTTCAAGGGCATGTGACTAGGGTTGGAATGCTCGTCGAGTTCTATAGACTTATGGTTTATCTTCTGATTTCATTCAACTTTTCTTAAGAAATCGTGACATGAAAACGGTCTTGAATGGTCACTCTTCTAGATCTTTTAACATTAATGCGAGTGTTCTACAGTGTTATATGCTTGGACTTATATTGTTTCCAATATTATCAACAACATTCCCAGTGAAATCAATCCTGACTAGGTATCTATATGAATGACACAAATTTTACTCTAGTCTTAATAGTAACTCTGATAGTATCTGTCTATATTTTTAACAAGAGGTATTTTGTACATTATTTACATTATTCGGGTTATTGTCCTCATCTTTGTCGCCATATTTATTACAACGGTTAAGGCAGTGGAGAACTTTCAGAGTGAAATTAACAAGAGATAACTGATAACTGGCATCCATTAAACATGGCACATGGAACTAGAACATTCTACCCCAGTGTGCGAAATAAAGGGTTCAGTTCGATATTCCAAACACCTGAAGAAGGCCGGAGCGTACAACGGTCGAAACGCTGTAATAAATATGGCGACAAAGATGGGGACAATAGTCCGAATAATGTAAATAATGTAAGTCTGGTAGGTTTAATAAACCCAAATTGACAGCTGAGCTTAAAAATTATCTACGATTTGTTAACTGAAGCAAGAAATGGATTTTTAATTTAAATGCCTCCAGAACGAAACTTCTGTCTTTTAATTAATTTAATTTTTCTTAACTTCTTTTTCCCTTCCATCATGACTGATGCTAACCTTCTCGGTTTCAAGTTTTTCCATTGACATTGATCACATTGAAACAATTGCTAGATCTGACGCTAGTAAATTTAGTTCACTGTATCATGCCAGAGAATTGTTCTCGCCCGAATCCATCTTGCCCGTTTATATATTTACCATTCGTCCATTTATTGGCAGCTAAGTCTCATAATTTCACTATTTAAATTCATAAATCATTCACCGTAAGTTCTCTGCTAATAGTTTCTTCCCTCGCACTGCACACAGTCAAAAAGTACAAAAAATAGAACTCGACATGATTTCAATTTTGTTATTCTTAAAATATTCGTTTTCTTTACACTTTCATCTTTTTCTATGTGTTCCCTAATTTTTAGAAATCTATTTAGTAAAAGGGAAGAACATTTACCGATCTGAGTTATTTCTTCCAATCATTATTCGTTTAATGATTCTCTTTCGATGTTGACATATTCTTGCCTGTTAATTAAGGTTTTAGTAGAAAAGAATTGTCAGCGTTTTCATATTTGATTTTTTTTTTATTTCGTGATAAATCATTCTTTCTGTTCCAACTTTGAACATCATTTCATGAATGATTTCCTTGTTTTATTGTTTCGATCGGTTGGCTCTTTTGTCTTCCTCGGTTTCACACCATATACAAAAATTTCAGTTTACTTCAATAAATTCCAATTTCATTGTTATTTTCTCGTCTGCAGGATTTATCGAAAACTCCTTCGTTGTTGAATTCCGAAGGATGTTCATAGCTTCACCATTTTTTTTTCATTTCTACTTTTCTTCCATTCTTATTTTACTTTTCTTCCTTATATTCTTTCTTCACATTTTCTTTCTTCCTCTAATATTTTTCATTTTTCTATTTCAGTCCATCATTTTTCTTTCAAAATGTGTAACTCTCCTTCGTTTTTTTTTCTTTTATTCTTTGTATTTCGTTTGTATTTTCCTGGATTCTTGTTTTTTTTTCTACCCCGCTACACTTAGCCGACATTACGTTTCGCAAGCAAAATTCCCTAGTGGTACCCCCTCCATACACACACACACACACGCTGTGCATATAATTAGAAAGCCCCACATAGAGCTCCAACGAGCCATCCCCACTTCCCTGGTCTCATTCTTCCTCCCCCTGCTGCGTCTCTCGTCCTTCGCCGTTTAGTGATGGCCTAAACACCTCGAAAAACACATTTCGTATGTCCTGTCCACTTTTCTCATTATAGGCGGTCGTGAGGTCAGCATTTTGTGACCTTGAAACGAGGCAGGAAGTCTTTGGTTCGCAAACGCGTGTGTGTCTGTTGTTATGAAAGCGTAATTAAAAGCTTTTCTGGATGGGTGTGTGTTAGTATGTGTGCATTCATGTCATGGAGTAGAAACAAGTAATGACGTTTGTATGTATGTACGAATAATGATATATAATCGTGACAGGGAGAGAGAAAGAGAGAAAGAGAAAAGGAGATAGAAAAGAAGAGAGGGATAGAGAGAGAGGGAGTGAGACGTGTATAAGCGGGAGAAAGAGGAAACGGTAAAAAAATAGCTGTTTGTTCCATGACATATAAGCATAGCCAAGTCTAACATAAGGTCACCATAATTGAGCACTTATAAGGATCAAGAGTTTCCAATATTAATTTTACTAAGCGTATTCCGTTTTGGCGGGGAGCCACAAAATTCAGTACCTCTAAAAAAAAGGCGATGCCTATGTTTAAAATACATTTTAAAAGTGAAAAATCTTTTTTTTTTTTTAGTTTTTATTTCAGTTTTCATATTAAGTTTATATCTCCAAAAAGCAAAATAGTTTGCTGTATTTAAAATTCAATTCACATGTGTGTGTGTGTGTGTGTGTGTGTGTGTGTGTGTGTGTGTGTGCGTCTCTGTGTCTGTGTGTGTGTTTCTGTGTGTGTGCGCGCACGCGCGTGTGTGTATTCAAACAGGTTGCTTAAATAAATTAGACATATCATGTCGTTTAGTTTTGGTTGTGTTCCTTTTAAGTTCGCTGATTAATTTCCTGGCAGTCTTACAAAACTTATTAAGAAAAATACCAAAATGTTCTTTCAAATAGTTTTTATTTTCCCAAGTATTTTCAATCTTATCTAAGAACATCTTCAGTTAAGTATATGTGTTTATGTAAATTCAAAACAAGTTCAAAATTCACGTGTTTTTGTGTTTTTTCCAGTATAAGTGAAGTAGCTTTTCCATTTTTGTTCACACATATATATTTTTTTCACATTTTTTGTAAACATTTAAAGATTTTTGTTGCCATACTCATTGTTGACTTTATTCATTTTGAGCTTTAATTCTTTTATATAAAAGAAGCTCCAAGGATTTTTAGTTTTTGCTTAATATTGTTTTTATGTAATATAGATGTATTTTCAACTAATATCCATCTAAACTATAATTATGGGCATGACTGTTCTTTTAAGGGCTGAGATATTGAACAATGCTCAACCAAATGGAATGTAAAACTTTTTGTTAGCATCGTCGTAGTAGAGCGTACGTATTGACAAAACAATACTTCTCCGCCAACTAGCATCTTGCAAAAGGCCAACATTGAAATTTACGTGACGAATTCAATGGGAACAATTTTGTATATAACATATATTAAATTTACTATAGTTACCGCTTCAATTTGTTGATAATTTCATGTATGGATGTCCGTATTTACAAAAATCGGAAAATTTATGTACGTACAAAAAATTCAAAATTCATTTTTTTTTTAAATCCTGGGAGTAGTTGAATTATAGTAAGCGTTCCATTTATAATTAGTAAATATATTTTTTACTTGTTGACAATATAACCTAATAGCTACAAATTAATACACAATTTTGAAAGATTTAAAAATTGAAAAGTTATAATGAATTAAAAAAAAAATTAAAACAATTCTAAAAATTCATTATTTTCTTAAGACAATAGTGACCATAATATATCTCATTTATATAAGCAATTACAAGCTTTTCTAATTAAATAATGTCTCAGTTTCAATGTATTTTTAATTTACGATTCAGAGCAGATTTTCCGTAAATTTTGTGTTACATCTTCCAAGGTCTTGTCCTTATAACTAATATACAAAATAAATTTCTCGAAATATCATAAAATTAAATAAGTATGAAGTATAATATATATATATATATATATATATATATATATATATATACAATGAGGGCCTTCAGTAATTAGCGGTGCCTTTCTTAACATGTCAATGTAACTAGCAGCTGTTTGACGATCTCCTGTAACTCAAGAGTTCCATTGTATGAAAATGAATCCCAGACCACAATTAATCCATCTCCACTGTGTCGTTTAGAGAAATTTCTTTTGGGACATCTTTTGCATACCTGTAACGCTGAAAACCATCTGGACCATCAAGATTCAATTTTTTCTCGTTTGAAAACAAAATATATTTGTTTTCTGTAGTTTACTGCTACCGGCAAGCAGAAATATTTCTTCTCCAGATGATGGCCATTTTGGCCGAAACTAGTCGAGAATCTAAATGAAATAATAAAAAAAAACCGAAAGAATATTAATCTACAAGCCAGTGTGTCTGAAGATTTTAATTTTTAATATTTTTATTGTTCAATATATATATATATATATATATATATATATATATATATATATATATATATAATTATTTATTCGAAAATTATAACATAAATATGTTATAAAATTACTACAAAAATAGCCATTTTGTTTCAATACTTCTGGTGTCTTATCAAATGATCGTGTTGGATATAGAACCTAGTGCTTTTTATAACATATTTATGGTATAATTTTCGAATAAATAATTATATTTGCTCTACTCTGTATTGAGCACTCTTTTAAGAATAATATCTTAATTTATTCGTATACACCAATATACTTTATATATATATATATATATATATATATATATATATATATATATATATATATATATATACGCATTGCTTCCATTTTGTTTTGATTGGTGAATGCGAATAAAATTCATAAAATTTACATTTCTTGGTTCATTTTTTGCAGCATTTTTTGTTGTTCATTCCGGCAAAATAAGTTGGATACAATTTTTGATCCAATTTTCTTTTGAGTCTCTCTCGGTGTATTTAGTCATTTCTACTGCCTCATATTATACAGGAAACACACACATTTGTCTGTATAAATTGATATATCTATATATATATGTGTGTGTGTTTTAACATATCTGTGTATCGTGACGTATAAATAACAATTGTATATCTATTTGTAAATGTTGACATTCAATCTTACTGCTTTCCGGCACCCATATGCCTAACACAGTGTATTGTAATTTGAATTCTCTCTATATTCATGCAAAAAGCCAGATCTTAAATGGAGTGGAATTCAAAAAATTAAAAAAAAAATGACTATTATTAAACAAGTAAATATCAACACAATGAATATAGACAAAGAAAGTTTTAAAGGATAATTGTGTCGAGAACACAATCATGGAAAAATAACCGCATAAGTTATGTGGATTGTTTAAAAGAGGTAGTGTCATGAAAAGAAAGTAGATGTTTGACGTCAGAAAGAAAATAACTGCTGCTGATGTTTTAGCTGAGTCATTAACTTTTGGCATCGTGTGTGTTCAAATTCATTTTTGTTGGAGAGTGAAGGGGATCGAAAGCAGTGTATATCCCAACATTAACCACTTCTTTCTCGGTGGTCATGCCGAGGACGTGTGTCAGAAATAATTATGGATTGAATTCTGAAAAATAACAGAGCACGTGAAACTTCCGCTATAACGGAAAGCAGAGATTTTAGAAACAGAGAATGAATGAAGGCGTCTTCAAAAAAACATTTCCTGCAATCACACACATGCACACACTGAGAGAGAGAGAGAGAGAGAGAGAGAGAGAGAGAGAGAGAGAAAGAAAGAGATAGAGAAAGGGAGAGAGGCAACCCACGTAGCAGTTAATGTACTTAAATCATTTACAACACAATACTAATATCTCTCAGATTCTGTTCCTATATTTCAGTTTGTCTGTATAAGACCAGGCTTTATAGAGCCCTGGTTCTAGTCAGTGCTGGCGTTCTGTTTTCAAACCCAAAGCAAGACGAATATTTTCAAAGCTGGTTTTTAAAATTAAAAAGGACTATCAATAAAAAAAAAAGTTTTATTTCTCTGCTTCTACGTATATTCTTTTACTCTTCCCGATTGATACACACACACACACACACACACACACACACATATATATATATATATATATATATATATATATATATATATGCATACATATATATGATAAAGTTATAGTTTTGACGTATGCTGTATCTATCGGTACAAGTGTATAATATCAGTGATAGAGCGGCACCGAATAGCGACAGTCTGTTTCATGGTTGAGCGCAATATTCATGTATCAAGATCGCGTTCCAATCTGAAACAAACTATCGCCACTCAGTGTATATATATATATATATATATATATATATTCGGATGATAAATTATATAAAAAAGGCCAATTGCTCTTTCTTCCCGAGCGCTTTCGACTATACATTTAGCCGTTTTCAAGGTTGAAATATATTAACTGTTAACATGAAATAGATTGTTATATGTATTTATATAATGTTTTCATTTTCAAAACACAGTCAAGATATTGTGTCTATGTTCATAGTTGATATTATTGAGTGTTGTGTTTTTTGGGAGGTTTATTAATGAGGCTTCCATTATTTTAGCCTTATTTTATCTGTAGACGATTCTATTACATTTGTTTTATCAACAGGTATGTTACGAATAGGGTCCAGTAGGTCTCTATGAATATTTAAATGAGACTGTTATGGGATCTTACCCATAATAATAATAATGGACTATTCCATACTTAATAAATACTGCACCTCAGTCAGTAGTTCAAGTCAGTAGTTCAAGTAGAGTCAGTAGTTCAAGTCGAGTCAAGAGTCGAGTCAGAGGCAGTCCGAAACAGAGTCGCGTTCAGACAATTACTGCAAGACATTGGAATAGTGATACTGGTCGAGACTACATTGTTCTCTCTACTAAACCTGATTGTTCATACTAACACTTCTGTTATATATCTGTATATTCCTGTTTGTAATATATCTGGGTTATTCCATACCTGTTTTCGCGTTCTTCTTTATTGGTTCTTCCTTGAACTATCACCGTGATACAAAGAATCGGACCATAACAAGTGGCGACGAAGATTTGAATTCATTCAGTGGAAGAAAAAAACATTCGTTCGCCACCGTATAACAGAGACCTAATTGAGCTATTGTCAGAAAGATGTAGTTTGAGTCTTCGTGTCAAACATGGTGTAGTGTGGCCTATATAAATGTTTACGAATTTTGATTAATCAGGAATACTTAATAGGCATTTAAATTCGTAAATAATATTTGTTCTATTTAATTTTCTTCTAAGAGGTGAATTATTATTTTTAACTATAAGTTTGGCGGTTTTAAATTTTTGTAATAAGTAGTCTAAATTTTTGCTATTGTCTACTGGTGACATACATTTTTTATAATGTACTTAATTCTACTTTCATCTTGTTTGTAATTTTAATTCATCTGATTTTTATAAAAAAATATTAATGTTATTGTTTATGTTCCTTTTCTCGTCGTTGTTATTAGCTACGTTAGAGAGAAAATGCCTAACATGGAAATCGAACAATCGATTAGGAAATCCATTATTAATAAGTGTTTGTTTTACGTTGTTTAATTCTTAAGAAAGCGTGCGAGAGGATGAATTCTCGTGCGCTCTCTTGGGGAAATTTTCAATAACACCTATTTTATATCTAAGATGGCATTCACTAGAGAAATTAAGATGGACAGATTCTTTATTTAGTTGTCTTTTATAAACTGAAGTTGTAATAGTATTATTACTAAAATCACAGGAACATCTAAGAAAGGGAGTTTTTTTTTCCATTAATTTCATATATCAAATTTAGAACGGAATTTTGTTGAAATGCAGTTTTTAGACTTTCAATTTCCTTTTTGCTATCAGCTAAAATAAAAATATCGTCTATTTGACGAATATATATTTTAGGTTTAATAACTTTAGTAAAAACCTTGGTTTCAACATAGGACATATAATAATTGGAGAAGTACGGTCCAAGAGGGTTTCCTATGCTTACTCCATCAGACCGTGTGTAAATAGTACCATTCAAGCTATAAAAAGGAACTCTAGTGGTACAAGCGAGCAGTAGTTTCTTAAAATATTGAGCTGGATTAATAGAGGTGGAATTAAATTATTTTTATCCACAGAATTAATGATAATATCAATAGTTTCTGTGACAGGAACGTTAGTAAATACATTCTCTCTCTATATATATAAAAGTGGACATTGAGGTCAAAACCCAGCAGTGACAGTCTGCTTCATGCTTAAACGCAATCTTCAGGCCATTATTACAGGAAGTTGCGTTTAAGCATAAAATAGACTGTCGCCCCTGAGTTTTGACCTCAATGTCCACTTTTATATTTACCTACGACCCTGATATCAAGCACTTTAAGGCAAAAAACTAGGCCACACTTTAAAATTGTATTAATGTCAATCATATATATATATATATATATATATATATATATATATATATATGAACACACACACACACACACACACACACACATACATATATATATATATATATATATATACACGCGTTTGTGTTCGGATATGAAAATAGTCGATAATATTTTTCAGTTTTTTTCCTATGATACAACTATGCCGTCCCCTTTCTTTTCTATCTATCTATCTATCTATCTATCTGTCTGTCTGTCTGGGGCTCGCTGTCTTTTCACTCACTACTTATTTTAATCTGTCAAATATATTTCTGACGCCCTATCAGTCCCAACCATGAGAAGATTTTTGCAAGCGGTTATCGATGATAAATAAAGCTTTTGCTTGGTAACTGTTATGGTGTACTCCCCTTTTTCATATAAGTGGACTCGACCAAAGTGTTACTTGGACTGCTGCCGTTAAATACCCAGAGTCAGTCAGAATACAGAGAGTCGGACAGAGATTGAGATTGAGTTGGATGTAGAGAAATAGTGTGAGGTAACCGCTTGAAGAAATCAGTTACAAGCACGTAGACTCTAAGGAAGTCCTACTTGAGACTGTATATATATATATATATATATATATATATATATATATATATATATATATACATACAGTCTCGAATCCACAACAAATTGACGACGAAGATTCGAACACACGCGGAAAAGAACAAAAGAAAAAATTCCCTCGTCGTCCAACAAACATATTGACGATGAACATTCGAACCCAAGTGGAAAAGAAAAAATCAACAAAAGAAAAATCTTCCCTCGTCGTCCAACAAGCAAATTGTCGCCGAGCGATTCGAACTCGCACGTAAAGAAGAAATAGAAAAATCCTTCCCTCGTCGTCCACAACAAATTAGCGACAAACAGTTACGAGGAGTAAAAATACGTAAAATTGAGTTATCATGGAAGATTTTAAAAATATTTTGGTAGAACTAATAAAACACCAAAATGAACAACAATTACAAATACAAAAATACCAAAATGATCAACAATTACAACTACAAGAACGAATGGAAGAAAAATGGCAAAAGCAATTAGAAAAATAGAGCCCCAGGAACTAATATTGAAAGTAGCGGGAAACAAGCAATTAGATATTGAAAAAGAAGCAACATTTTCGCAAGACGCAGTGTGGAATACCATAGAGATTTTCAAATATTCTCTAGATGAGGACAAAAATTTTGGAGATTACTTCAGAAGACATGAAGACATCTTTAACATAGACTGTCAAAATTGGACAGAAGCAAAAAAGCTACGTCTATTGCTTAGAAAATTAGGAACTGAAGAATATACAAAGTTCGTGGATTAAAAAAGACGAACGAATTAATATTTGACGAAGCAGTGACATGTCTTAAAGAACTCTTCAGCCCCAAAACATCACTCTTCCACAGGAGGTGGAAATGCCTTAACCTGGTAAAGGGCGATGATGAGGATTATTCCACGTTTGCCGCAATCGTAAATAAACATTGTGACGACTTTAAACTAGCGGAATTAACCCCTGACAATTTCAAATGTCTCATCTTTGTTCAAGGGTTGGTTTCTACAAAAGATAGCGAAATGTGCAGAAGAATGCTTGCAAAATTACAAAATGAACCGGGTCTAACATTACAGCAATTATCGGAAGATTGCCAGAGATGTCTAAGTATAAAGAAAGACGCAAAGGACATTGAAGATTCAGCTGTTTCTCATATAAGTAAGTTAAACAAAAGTCTACGTTCTTCACCCTCCCCGGAAAGAAAACTAAAATTTTACGACAATGAAAAAAGATTCTCACCCTCTCCGGTAAGAAAAAGAAAATTTTATAATAAGAGGAAAAGTACAACATACAGGACAAATTATGACGAATATCGAAGCAAATATAAGCCCCCTCTATCAGCATGTTATCGATGTAGAGGACTACATTGGAACAAGGATTGCCGTTTTAGATATAAAACTGTCTTGAATGTGGAAAAAAGGGCTACAAGGCATCCCAATGTAGAAATAGAAAAGATACTAAAAGAATAAGAGCTACAAGGATGCATAATGATGACAACACCAACGTAAAGAAAATATGTGGAACTGGAAATTTTAAATAAAAAGATTAAATTACAACTGGATTCGTGTTCCGACCTCACGATAATCAACTTACAGGCATGGAGAAAACTCAACAGACCTACCATGTTACACACACAAAAAATTGCCAAGTCGGTTACAGGCAAACGAATAAAATTTGAGGGAGAAATATTCGTGAATGTTAAATTTCACGACAAAACAAAAAAAACTTAAGATATACGCCATGAAAGATACTGAAAATATAGTAGGTATCGACTGGATGCAGAAGTTCAACGTTTGGTACCTACCTGTCACATTTTTTTGCAAAAAGTTAGAGATTGAACCATCAGAAACTATAAAATTAAAGGAATAATTATATAACCAATTTCCTGGGGTATTTTCAAGCGGGTTGGGACGATGCAACAAATTGAAGGCCAAAATAGAATTAAAAGAAAACGTCCAACCAATTTTTAAAAAGAAGCGAAATGTACCGTTCGCTACTATAGAAAAAATAGACAAAGTATTGGAGAGACTTGAGCAAACTGGGATTCTATCAAAAACAGAGTTTAGCGAGTGGGCAGCGCCGGTGGTTTATGTAAAAAAGAAGTCAGGAGAGATCCACGTATGCGCAGATTTTTCGACGGGACTCAACAAGGCGATAAAAGACCGCCATTACCCACTTCCGAGCCCAGAAGAAATATTTACAAAGCTCAACGGCGGTAAGATATTTTCAAAAATAGATCTAAGTGAGGCTTATCTACAAATCCCAGTACACGAAGAGAGTACGAAAATCCTTTGCATTAATACGCACAAAGGGTTGTACAAATTCAACAGACTACCATTCGGAGTAAAAGTTGCACCTGCAATTTTTCAGCAAACGATGGACACAATGCTCACGGACCAGAATTTCGCGACCGCTTATCTGGATGATATTCTAATTAAGAGCGACAAAATTGAAGAGCACACATCACACATAAAGGAAGTTTTCAGAAGACTTCAGGATTTTGGGTTCAAAGTAAAAGGAGAAAAGTGTGATTTTTTTCATAAATGAAATTAAAAGAAAAAAATTGTCGAAACCCTGATTATCAACCATAAGAGACAAAAATACAAACTCCCCCCAAAAAGGGATCTAAGGAGGGGGGTGTCATGGGGTCCTACCCTTTTTCATATAAGTGGACTCGACCAAAGTGTTACTTGGACTGCTGCCGTTAAATACCCAGAGTCAATCAGAATACAGAGAGTCGTACAGAGATTGAGATTGTGATTGAGTTGGATGTAGAGTAATAGTGTGAGGTAACCGCTTGTAGAAGTCAAGTTACTTCGAGACTGTATATATATATATATATATATATATATATATATTATTGCTACTAACCGCGTTCCTGGATTTGCTAACAGTATTACCCTTTGTATTATTGTGTAAATACATTTTATTTTTTTATATTTAATTCTTGCGTTTGTCATTCATTGGAAATAGGAATCCACAACAGTAACCTTATACCATACTTAGATGATGTAATGACCTATACACGACGAAAAATGTGCGTGCAAACGGATTGATTTCTATAATGAATTATGATTATGTATTATTTATGATTTATCATGCCTTCTTCAAAGTTGGGTGGTTGCCTTGTACTTTTCTTACGATTTTGAATTCAGATTACCACCCAAGGGTATTTAGTGTATATCTAGGATGAGAAAATATGTAATCATGATTTTCCTAAAGGTATTTGTGTGAAAGTAAACACAACAGACTATTCAGGTTTCGATCTCAATCCGCAGATTTCACTATTCACGCTGATAAATGTTATGCTAGCCACACCACACACCTATTCTGATTAAGTTATTCAAAGTTGTTGACTTGAGCCAGACTTGAAAACAGAATAGTGTGTAAGTTTTTTTATGTGTGTGTATATGAGTATGTGTGTGTGCGTGCACATCTATCTATTTATCTATCTATCGATACTTATTTATGCCAATGAAAGACGCAAGATGCCGGGCATAGTGATAACGGCCATGGTGTCGGTACTGAAAGTGAGGACGGTGTTGGACAGGCCCTGGGCAGTGACAGTTGTAATATACTGGTAGGATGTGGGTGGTTGTAGTTCAGGAGGTTTGGGTTGAGAGGTGAGAAGGATGTGTTCGTTGTCAGATAAGAAATCATTGGGCAGAGTGTCGAGTGAGGATAATTTGCCCTCATTCGATGGCTGTCTGTCATCGCGATTCGCTGGTAGACATCATCCTCGGCCTCCATCACCACCACTGTGTCTGATTGCATAAAGAAAGAAAAAGAATATGAAAAGCGAAAAAGAAAAGTTAAAGGGACATAAAAAGAAGAAGAGAAAATGGACAAGGAGAGGGTGTGCACGCAAATAGAATAATTTAAACAAGGAATGTAAAAAAAAAGGAGAAAAGAACATCAAGAAGAAAGAATTAAATAAGGAAAAGAGACAAATTGAATGAAAGAAAAGAATGAATCAGTCGAGCAATGGCGCGACAATTTTTTCATTCTTTTATTTTGTACCGCTTAGTGTTTTTCTGAACTAATTTGAAGTTAGTAAACATCAAAGAGGGTGGTGGAAAATGTCGACAGAAGAAGAAAGAAAAAAAGAAAAAAGAAAGAAAGAAGGAAGGAAGGAAAATAAAATAAAGGATAATAACAAAAAAGGAAAAGCGCAGATGAAGAATGAAAAAAATATGTGAATAAAATTAAAGAAAGAATAAAGTATAAAAGACAGAAAATCCAAAAGAGTTTGAACAAAATTAGAAATGTATGCAGAAGGAAAATTAGTTCGAAAATATAACGAAACGAATCAGTATGGACAACAAAAAAACGAAAAGAAAAATGATAGAAAGAGAGACAGAAAAATAAAAATAAATAGAGTATGCAACATTAATAAGCAGAAAGTAAAAAAGTGAAAATAAATGTGGAAAATAAAGAAATAAGAAAAAGTTTGATGCAAACTATAAAAAAAATTAAACGAAAGTAAAAAGAATAACGAAAAAAGACTTTTGTGAATCAAATAAAAAACAACCCAGGGAGGGAGGGAGAGAGCGAGAGAGAGAGAAAGAAGAAGAAGAAGAAGAAGAAGAAGAAGAAGAAGAAGAAGGAAAATGCTTGAGAAAAATGAACATAGGAGAAAAAAGCAAAATGCAGACGAAATGAAATATAAAAGTGAGACAGAAGGCCATGAAAACAGAAAGCAAAGTAGAGGAAGGCTGAAGGTGAACAAGAGAGAAGGCAAAGAAGACAGAAGGCGAAGAAGACAGAAGGTAAAGAAGACAGAAGGTGAAGAAGACAGAAGGTAAAGAAGACAGAAGGTGAAGAAGACAGAAGGTAAAGAAGACAGAAGGCAAAGAAGACAGAAGGCGAAGAAGACAGAAGGTAAAGAAGACAGAAGGTAAAGAAGACAGAAGGTGAAGAAGACAGAATGTAAAGAAGACAGAAGGCAAAGAAGACAGAAGGTGAAGATAGAAGGCGAAGAAGACAGAAGGCGAAGAAGACAGAAGGTGAAGAAGACAGGAGATTGAAGAAAACACAAGGCAAAGAAAAAGAGAAAGACAGGAGTTGAAGAAGACAAAAGGCAAAGAAGAGAGAATATGAAGAAAAAAGAAGACTAAAAATACGGAAGTCCGAAGGCGAAGACATGATTTGAAGAAGACAGCAGACGAAGAAGTGTGAAGTTGAAGAAGACATAATGTGAAGAAGACAGAAGTTGACTAAGACAGAGGGAGAGAAAGGCAGAAGGCGAAAAAGATAAAAGGTGAAGAAGACAGAAATAGAGGAAGATAGAATGGGAAGACAGATTATAAAGAAAACAGAAGGTAAAGAAGACAGATAGAGGGGAAGGAGACAGAAAGTGAAAAAGACTGAAAGAGAAGACAGAAGGAGAATAAAACTGAAGGCAAAGATAGAAAGTGAAGAAGACAAGGAGAGGATGACAAAAGGTGATGAAGAGAGAAATGAAGGCTAAAATAATAAGTAAAATATACAAAGAAAAAAAGGAAACCCAGATAAATAGAGAAAAGTTGGTAAAAAATTGAAAAAGAAGGAGAAATATTGAATCCGTTTGGTCGAGGCGTATAACTGTTTGTATAAAGATAGTCTATACGGTAGTATGTCTTGGGAGGTGGTCGGGATATAATAAAAAGTTTTCTGATGGTGACAAGAAGTGAGAATGTTGACAAAGTGGAGGACGTGGCTTCCAATAAACCAAATGGTAAGCAGAACCGAAAGATTTGGCTGGAAGCATTGCGAAGAATTTGTGTGCTGAACTCGGCAGGGTTTCCTGAGACGAAAATGTAAGACGATCGGTGGATGTAAGAGGAGAGGTTTGGAACAGGAGGTGATCGGGAAAATTTCAATGGTGGCGGAGACGATGTATGGGGCGGGAGTGATCACGTGTCAGACGATTTGGTGAGAGCAGAAAGAAGTAAAGAAAATACGAGTAGGTAAAAATCAAAAATGGTGAAACTCCATGGGCTTGTTCTGAAGACGAACAAAATTCATAAAGAAAAAGAAAGGAATGAAAATTATAGAAAAAAAAATAAAAAAAAAAGTTACGAAACGATAAAGAAGTCAAAAGTTAAAATGGATGAAGGAATAAACAAAGAATGAAAAGAAAAGAAAAGAATCAGAAGAAGAAGAAAAAGAAGAATAAAAAAGAATAAGGAAAAAGAAAATCATGAAAAAGAAAAAAAAAATAGTGGGAAAAAGAAACAATCAAGACAGAAAAATGAAAGTGTTAAAAGTGAAAGAAAGAAAGAAAGCAATAGAAAAAGAGAGATATAGATTGAGAGAGAAAGAAAGAAATGAAAAAGATAGAACGTTAGAAGGAAGGAAGAAAGGAAGGAAAGAAGGAAGGAAGGAATAAAGGAAGAAAGGAATAAAGGAAGGAAGGAAGGAAGGAAGGAAAGAAGGAAGGAAGGAAGGAATAAAGGAAGGAAGGAATAAAGGAAGGAAGGAAGGAAGGAAAGAAGGAAGGAAGGAACAAAGGAAAGAAGGAAGGAAGGAAAGAAGGAAAGAAGGAAGGAATTAAAGAAGGAAGGAATAAAGAAAGGAAGGAAGAAAAGAATAAAGGAAGGGATAAAGGAAGGAAAGAAGGAAGGAATAAAGGAAGGAAGGAAGGAAGGAAGGAAAGAAAGAAAGAATAAAGGAAGGAAGAAAGGAAGGAAAGAAGGAAGGAACAAAGGAAAGAAGGAAGGAAGGAAAGAAGGAAGGAAAGAAGGAAGGAAAGAAGGAATGAAAGAATAAATGAAGGAAGAAAGGAAGGAAAGAAGGAAGGAAGAAAGGATGGAAAGAAGGAATAAAGGAAAGAAGGAAGGAAGGAAGGAATAAAGGAAGGAAGGAAGGAAGGAAGGAAGGAAGGAAGGAAAAAATAAAGAACAAACACTGAAACGAAGAAGAAAGAAGAAAGGCGGAAAAGAATAAAAAAAACAATCTGAGAGAAAAAAAGTAAGAAAACAAAAATAGTGTGAAAAAGAAAATAATGAAGGAGAAAGGAAGAGTGAAAAGTGAAGGGGAAAAGATGAAGAAAGAAAAAAATAAAGAAATGATGTAGATGACCCGGATAACGAAATTAGTTCATAGATCTAGAAGAGATTTTATTCAAGATGGAGGTTGCATTTTAGAATGTCTTCATTGTATTTATATCATTTATTCCCCGTTCTAATAAAATAATCCTCCATAAATCTTTTAAAAGATATTTAGGTTTGACGACAATCTAAAGACAATGAATCTTCTGCGATTTGCGCCAGCGGCCGTTTGTGAACACACGTGACATTTCTTTTTTATAGAATTTCAGATTTTGCGAGAGTTTTTCAGGCCGATATATCACTGTAAGTTGGGTGGGTGATGCTTTTATCGAATCATCATCCAAAGATAGATTACCTAACCAAAGATACCAACGATAAACATAAACAGATTCTATGAGACCAACTGGATGAGGACTTCAAGCACTAGCATCGACGTCCCGCAAACAGGTTCGACTAACCAATTTTACTCGCTTTGGCTAAATCTGATATGATTTTTAGGCAATTTCCAATGGTGCCAATGACTGGAAATGTCAACACAGGACGATATTATCAAAAAGCAACCTCGTTAGCTAATCGACCATTGTTAGATTCATTTATTAGGGGAAGTTATTTACCATTACCTGATAAAATACAATCATAGTATTGAAACATGAAAGCTTTTGTGTAGCGATGTAAAATGTTTTTATTATAATCATTTATTATAAAAATGTTATAATAATATTTTGCTCTACTTTATATTGAGCATTTTTGAAATATTAAATGCTTTGAACTATGGATTTTTATTCCATTTGTTCTTTCTCTTATTTGAATATATCTTAATAGATTTATAAATACATTTTCCTTCGGTTCTAAAGTGCAGTCTATGAAATAAAATTTATTAAATTTAGGTAATGTTCTTCCTATTACGACAACGACCTCACTACACGCTAAAAACTAATGACCTATAAACTGACTTATTTCAATTATTTAACTTTAAAATGACGAAATTATACAAAATAAACAAAACATGCAAAAATAGTAAAATTACATACAATAAAATTAATTCAACTTCAGGACTATAATTAAAACAATGGCTTAATTATTTCCTACCTAGAAGCCCACAATAGCTGTATCAAAAACATTTTTCCAAACATTGGTGGCGGGTTCCTCACACTAAAACAAGGACAAAATTCCAGATAAACATGTTCGCAAATACTTCGTTTTTGAGATATTAAGTTTAAAGAAAGTTTATGCCAGATGGCTCTGTTTTGCAATGTAGACTAGGTTATATTTCTCATTCGTGTACATTTGTGGCTAAACCGTCTTTAACGTTTAACGTGTGTAGTAGTAAATTAACTGAGGAGTGTTCCGTTTAACAATGGCAGGATATTCATCACGTGAACAGGCAGATATGATTTTTATATACGGCTGCGCGAATGTTAATAGACGTGAGGTTGCACGGCTGTATCAGATTTCGTTTCCAGACCGAAGGCAGCCGAGTCATCCAACATTTGATACTATTTATCGTCGTGTTGCTGAGACAGGATCCGTGGCACCACAAACTATGGGTCGACGAAGGCCGAGATCCGCTCGTACGTCTGACAACGTAGACTATATTCTACAGGCTGTCGGCGACGATTCAAGTGACCCTAGCATGTTGTACGTCTCATAATAACGCATTGATAGTACCTTAAGAGCAATTCCTGCATCATTTGGATTTCACCCTCTGATCCCTCACCACGGGAGAACGTTTGCCGATGATTTATAGGACTAACTGCAAATCTGTTGTTTGATTCTTTATGTTTTGTTTACAAGGCAACATTTGGAAAATATGGAATAACAATTTTACACAACAAACATTTGTAAGCGAATCGGAATCTCCATGGTACAATACAGGCTAGAATCAGTTACAAATTGTAGGCAATGTTTGTCGTTGTTTTGGTGTAAGGAACCCGCTCCCAAAGTTAATAAAAGTATTTTTGATACACCCTGTATAGTAACACAAAGAGTAGTAACAAATGGTTTGGTAATTGGATAAAGCTTGTAATTGACAACATATATTGATTTCTTTATCCACACTGTTTATATCGACAAACGGTCTATCCTTGATACTGAGCCCTCTTACCCAATAAATATAGAAGATTCAAAAGTACTTTTTTATATAAAATATTTACGACCCTCCCTTCGAATTTGCGTATCGTCCTATATTCGAATTTGGTGTTACGGGAAAAAAAACGATGTACACTGCAAAGGATAGCATTATTGGAATGTTTTACGTTTCAATGAATCAAGAGAAAATTTAGTTGATTTGTTAGGAAATAAATGCAAATGATTCTATTTCTGATTACCAGTCAGACGCATCCTTAAAACAGAAGTTTTCCTTCGTTCGTCAAGTAAATTTTGATCATCTACTGTAGTCAAGGCGAAATATTGCTTCATTCCAAAGAGAGCTCTGGGCAAGATGATTTCCCCTGATTCTATTGGAAAACGCATTATAAATGTTGTCAAATACGGTGCGTAATTATAGCTGTAAAAATAACGACACATTTCTTTCGCATGATATACGAGACTGGATGCACCAAGAAAACCGTTACGAGTCTGAATATTTATTATTATAATTATTATTATTTTATCGCATTTCTATTGTATACACATTACCTTTTCGGGTCTCAAAGGACAGAAATGGCTTTATGACATTTCCCTATGATCATGTTTTGAAAAAGTTACATAAAAAACAAACAACCTAGGATCACACACAGTTTACATAGATAAGCTCTTCATACACTATTTACATTATTCGGACTATTCGGGGATATGGATAAAGGCGTTGGTTAGATCCAGTGACAAGACCCAAAAAGTGTGAGTTCAATACCCGCTTAAGGTAGTGAGAACTTTCAGAGGGAAATTAACAGAAGATAACTGATAACTAACATCCATTAAACATGGCACGTGGAACTAGAACAGTCTACCCCAGTGAGCGAAATAAAGGGTTCAGTTCGACATTCCAACCATCTGAAGAAGGCCGAAGCATACAATGGTTGAAACGTTGTAATAAATATGGCGACAAAGATGAGGACAATATTCCGAATAATGTAAATAACCTACATAATACCTCATCTCAGAAATATAGACAGATACTGAAGGGCCGAATCGTTGTGATAAATATGGCGACAAAGATGAGGACAATAGTCCGAATAATGTAAATAATGTACATAATACCTCATCTCAGAAATATAGACAGAAGCTCTTCATAATTTGTGAGCAGAGTTTGTGATTTTTGATATTTCTTTAAAGCATCGGCAACCAGGAATCTTTTCAATGATTTTTCCTATCAATCCGAGGGCTTCTACTAGAACTGGATTTATTGATGTCCCCCTGCCACATATTTCAATTTTTCACTTCTAGGTCATTGTATTTTGATATATTTTTTTTTAAAGATCTTCAAAGATATATTACAACCTGCAGGGACTGCCATGTCAATGAGAAAAAACATATTCTGTTCTTGTTGTTTTGATTACGATGTCTGGGAGATTAGTTTTGATGGTCTGTGTGTATAGTAAAATCCCATAAAATAGTTACAGCAGTTATATTATTATTATTATTATTATTATTATTATTCCTGGGGACGAAACGAGTGACTAATTTTTTTTTTAATTTTGTCATTCACTCACACTTGTTGTACGCTCCGGCCTTCTTCAAGTGGTTGGAATGTGGAACTGAACCATTTATTTCGATCGCTGGGGTAGACTCTTCTAGTTCCACGTGCCATGTCTCTAATTTATGTCAGTTATCAGTCATCTCCTTTTCTAAGTCTGTGACACTAATTTCAAGATTCCCGAAGTTGTCTTTAGCAACATCATTGAAACGTAACTTGGTTTTGTGATTGGGGCGCTTACCAAGAGCGAGCTTTCCATTAAAAAGGTGCTTAAGCAATCTCTCATCATCTATTTTACTGAGATGTCCTGCCCATCATAGTTGATTACGAATGAGCAGTTTCTCTATGCCGGATATTTTGACCCGTTGCAGAACAACTGTCCGGCGTGTAAGATTGTCACTTGATGTTTAAGATACGTCTTATGCACCTTTGATGAAATCTTTTCTAAAGTCCACGTCTCTGAACATTAAAGGAGAGTAACCAGGTCACGCGAGTTGTCGACACTGATCTTAGTGTCGAGTGAGGTGTCTCCGTTTGACCAGTTCCGTTTTTCAATGTACAGAAAGCTTTGATGGCTTTTCGATTCAACGACTGATTTCTTGCTCCAAAGAACCATCTCTAACCAGAGTACTTCAAAGGTATTAACAACCTCGTGTATCTGACTAGAAATATGAATGTTAAGTTCGGCATAGTGTTGCCCTAGAAAAGGTGGGTACATAACATTAGGCTTTTTTTATGCTGAAGGTTAGCGCGAACAGAGTGCATGCTCATTTTAAGTGGTCCATTATGGTTTGAACGACTTTTTCAGTATGAGCAACGCGATCTTCATCATCAGCATAGAGTAACTCTCAAACAACTGACTGGAATGTCTTTGATTTAAGCTTGAAGCAAATTTACCCATGAAACTAAAACGCAAGTCCACACAGATTTCACAATCCTGGAAAGCATTCGTGAGGGCTATAGCAAAAATAAAAAAATAAATATATAGAGAAGGAGGAATGTCACCTTGTTTATCTCCATTGTCGACGGCTATGGGGTTCTGTTAGAGACCTATTGAAGTTAAGTTTATTTTTCATCTCACTATGAAGTTTTTAATGTCTAGACTCGATACAATAGAACACAACATTCTAACTACTTTTCCTTCAGTTGACAGGGTGAGATCATATAATTTCTCTCAATATTGCGTTTCAGGGATGACTTGAGGGCAAATCCATCTTGTAACCCTATTAAGTAGAATTTTTGCAAAACTTTACCCATTACCTCAAGTAGGCTTATCTCCAATAGTCTCTACACAGCAATTTTAACCCTTTACCCTTGTGTGACGTCGTCCCCTGGTCGCAGCGCCAACTGTGACGTCCTATCCTGGTCTACCACGGCACCAGTTGTGACGTCCCTAAACAGCACCAATTGTGACGTCCTCGTCGCGGCGTCAGCTGTTCGCTCCTCGCTGCTCCGTTCGGGTGTCGCTGCTCCAAACGTGACGTCCGCCTGTCGCGTCAGTCGTGTTGTCTCGTCCTGTGACGACCAACTGGCTTGGTATCGGTCGCGGCACCCAAATGTGACGTTCTAACCTTTTGGTGATTCGGGTGGGAATCCGGTTAGATTTGATATCAACCTCGTCGTTCCCAACTCGCTTCCAACGCCTGGTTACCAAGGTAACTGCATAGATCTCCAGTCTGCCTTCCCACGTTGTGAATTGATCTTAGGCAGACGAGATCAATCAGTAGTCGGGGCCGTAATGCAAACTGAGTTCAACGGGGGTGATACCACTCAAATATGCATAAAAGAAAAGAAAATGAAAACTCAAAAGTTCAAAGTATCAAAGAAAAAGGTAACAAACTTTATGTCTAGTTGTTCGATACATAGGACTGCATCTATCTCCCGACCCGTTCTATGGATTGTGACACGTCGTTTTCCGTTAGGCGAGTTTTAACGCTTCAAGTTGTTTGCTCTCTAAGAAATTGGTTCTTTGTCTGTCTTCAGGCGACAGTCGAAAAACTTATTTCGGTGGTCTGGATCTAAGTCGTTCTTCAAAATAATTGTTCTTGGGTTGAAGAGGAGTCCGGAATTTGCGTGAATCTTGGTCAGCTATCTGCGAGGCGGCTTCAACTGGAGACTGACTCTGGGAACTGAATTCCTGGAACTCTGGAACTCAACTGATTTCCGCCCGTTGGGGCTTCGCTTATATGGACGCCGACCAAAACCGGGGTGGGTCTGTCGGCGTCGGGGTTTCCTCGATAATTCTAAATACATATCCACCTCTCTGGTTAGGAATTTCCACTTTTTTCCATTTTTGGGAACCTTTCCTTGCTCCCACCTTCTCACCATACTTCCGAGGGGCGTGAACTGCCCTCCCCACTTCTTCGTAGCAGCTTCTCATACCTACACTCTGGATGAGGCGGCGACAGCCTCCTTCGTGAGTCACGTTATCACCACTCGACCAATGATGTCTTAGTCGGGCGTGGACGAATCCGCGGCTTTGTTTCAGGAAGAAAAAAAAATATCTTGCTTAACTAAAAAAAAATATCCCTTCTTTTCCTTTTCTTCCTCTTAATCGCCGTTATCATTTCTCTAGCCACAAACGGGACAATATGAACAATGGCGGTCATAATTCTTGTTCTACACGTGGTTTTCGTCAGGTATTTTATCGCCAATTATCCGAATAGGTGGTCTTCTTAACACGGCCAACGTCGCCCCGAAAAGACATTTCTAAATATCTTGCTTAACTAAAAAAATGTATCCCAACAGTTTTATCTTGGCAACTCGTTTCATGGAAACAATCTAGAGTTGAAATATTATCTTGTTATGGGAACAATCCTTGGGGAGCAGCAATTAGCTTGAAAGAAAGAAGCTTTGTTAAAGAAAGGAATTTCTTACCGACAGTAGATTATAATTATTTCCATCAACGATGGCTGAAAAAATAAAATAATAAATCTACACCAAATATCTCGATCCTTGGAAAATAAAAAAAAGAATCAACAATTAGATGGATGAGAATAAGCAAGAAGAGAAAAAAAAACTTTTTCTCAAGAAGAAGCAATAAAAAGAAAAAAAAAACATTTTAAAAGATAAAAAATATTTTTATATTGACTGCCGTCCGATATTCGTCTAGAAATTTAGATGTGGAACAGCCGCATCACTTTACAAAACTGAATTAATTCTTTTCATTTTCAATTTAAATTTAAATTATTTTATTTATCTTTTCCAGTATCAAGTAATTATTTCCAATATATTTTTTTAAATTCTGAAATGTTTATCTTTAACATCTTCTTTTGCCTCGTCATAATTTTCTGAGGATTTTTCTTTTCAAGAAAGTTAAAAATAATTGACCGAAAGCAAAATCAAGTTTTGGGAAATGACAGAGAATGATTGAATAAAATCTCACTTGTCAAAAAGATTGGGAAAAACAAGTGACGTATAGCCAATGATATTACCGATTAACTTTTTCAATAATCCCCGTAAATTTATTCATCCAAATAATGTTAGTATATATTTTTAAATATATCTCTCTCTCCCCATCACTCTCCCCATCTACCCCCCATCTCTCTCCATCTCTCTCTCTCTCACACACACACTTTTTTTTCTATTTAATTCTCTTGCTCTGTTTTTTTTTTTTTTTAATTCTTTCTCCGCCATTTAAAGATAGTGCTAAAATTGTTTTCGTTAATTTCCGTATTTTCCCGTTACTTTTCGCTATTTTGTTTTCCTTATTTTCTTGAAATTTTCCGAAAATATCTTCTGGTTGATTTCCGTATTTTTTTCTCTCTTCATTTTCTCCAAATTACTTTGCTTCTTTCTTTTTTTGATTTTCTTTCCGTTCTTTTCCGTAAATATAGCCCCCGTTATGTTTCTTTCCCGACGATCACCGGCAAATTCATCTCGTTAATTTCCGCAAAAATGATTTCGTGGGATTTTTTTTACGATCATTGTTATTTATTTTTCTTTCTTTCTTCTTTTTCCTTTTCTGTCGATTTTCCTGTAAATTTATTCTCGTTATTTTCCGTAATTGCTTTCCTCGTTATTTTCCGTAAACGTTTATCTGGTTTCAGCCATCAATATTTTTTCACTTTGCACAAACAAATAAACATCGATATATTGCAATTTTAAGTTGGATTGCTCTGCGGCTGAAAAGGTTGCATTTTTTCGATCATTTGCTGCTCCAGTTTAGGAAAAAAAAAATTAATTTTCACGCAAAGCAAATATTATTTACTTGGAATATTATCGCTATACAGTCTCCATGCTTGCAAAAAATTAAATTGCTGACGGCTAAAAATATGAGTCATTTCAAATGGGCGGGAGTTTGAATCAACATCCGGGTCAGAAATGCTAATTCTCCTTACTTGGAAGACTGTTGCTACATAATCTTTCTCTCTTTCCCTTAATTTGGTCTCTTTTCAAATGTATATAAATATCATATAATTTTTCAGTTTTTCGTTTTTTTTTATCATACATTATATTTATTTATTTTCGTTTACCGATCTAAATATTCGAGAAGTTTTATTAAAGAAAAATAGGAGCAGATATGAACTTTCGAGAATATGGGTAAGATTTGGGTTTATAAGCATTATTCAACATTCCTTGATCGGTGACGCACTCCGTGGCTGACTCGGTCTAGAGGATTTCGGATTTAACGACGGTTTCTCCTGCAAAGAGAGACATAGATAAGAGTTTGTCCTGGTGAGGATGAAACTCACTATCACTGTCCTGCGGCGCTAGTTAAACATTGCTTCACGAGTACTTCTATACATATATAAATGGCAGTTGTGTGTGTGTGTGTGTGTGTATGTTTCCGGCTAAAACTAAAAAAAAACTACAGTAATTATTGTCAAAGTAAATATATATACAGACTCATTATAAACCAAGACAAATTTTAGTAAACCATTATCATCGTATGATCTGTATTTACGAAGATATTTTAAAATTAAAATGCATTCGAAATTCTCAGAATTAAAAAAAGTAAAAATCAACGGTAATAATTCTTATTCCCGATTAGGATTACCGTTCTTTTTTATGTTTTTATTCTGCAGATACTTTCCAAACGCTATACATGTATGCATTTTTAAAATTCTATTCTTTTGAATTTGTTTCCATATCTATAGTAAATAAAAGCGTAACTTTAAAAATGGAATATTAAAACAACAAAATAAATTTAAAAGAATGATATTAAATACAATTATTTGATAAAAAGTTTAATTTTTATTTATTCAAATATTTGTGCGTGTGTGTTTGCTCGCGTGTGTGTGTATGTGTGTGTGTGTGTGTATGTGTATGTCCGGCTACAAAATAAATATAGAGACAAACCTCTTATCTACGGACCCTACATCAACTGACTTAGGATGCAACAGAGAAAATCTGCAGCAAAAAAAAAAAAAACTCTGCAGAAAAAACTTCTAAATCGTAAGCGATGTATTTAAAATTTGCGGGCCTAGCTGAACGAGTCGTATTAGTTCTCAAAATAACCGCTTGGCGGCAGTGTCGGGCCGTTCAATTATAAAAAAAGACGGAAAGTACGATACATTAGCGCGTGCGTGAGACAGTAGCTGTGAGAAATCTATTATTTTTATTATTTTGAATAATATATCTATATTAAATGTATATTAAGTATATATTTTATAT